AACCCTGCCCTATGTCAAAGATAGTATCACCACACTTGAGGAACTTTTTAAAAAGTGGTGTGTCAATATATGGCCCAGCAATTCTGTGAACTGCACTGAAAATAAGCTTGTGGGAAAGGGCAAAGAAGTTTTGAACCTCATTAATGAACTTCAGCGCTTCTGGTGGGATTGGATCGTCATACAATCCAAGACGGGTGTCAAATGCCATAGTACCAATACCTGTACAGGCAAAAAAATATACCAATATGCTGAATAAACGTTGCAGTAACTTTAAGGCTAACCTTTACTCTTTTAGCCTATAAGAAAACAGCCTAAATTTTGCAACCCTATCAATGATTTTCCATGAAATGGCATCTGAGGTCAAATGACCTGCACAGAAATTCCAGTCTAGTGGCACGACCAATCACAAGCACTTCCCAGATGTCATCAGAATGGAATTTCTGTGCTCGTTCCAAAAGATATCATTTCACAGGGAAACCAGTAAAAGTGCAGACATCATGAAATGTTAGCTGTTGTTGTCAGCTGTTGATTTTCATTCAGTAAGCTAAATTTGCAGTCAATTGTTTTTTATTTGAAGAGCTAGGTTGCATTTTGTTCTGATTGGTTGGTTAATTCCATGAAATGATGTTCTTACGAAGAAACTGATCCTCAGCATGCAGTGCATCTAGATATGCTGGCGGGTGTGGGCTAAACATACCTCAGACTTTAATGGTGCCTCAGGTTTCCGTTTAATTTACTGCTTCTTGGTCAATGTGCTCAATTGTAACTATTGCGGCTGAATAAAAAATGAGGAAAACCTCAGGCTTCACTGGTGACATTTTTTTTTAATCTTAAGCAACCAGTGCCTTTAATACTGAGAGATGTGAGTTGGTATATCAGTATATAAATACATGCTGCCGGCACTTTAATTAGTCCATTAGCCCATATGATACTGACAACTTACTTTCAGTTGACCATTTACTCAATTCCCCTTCCAAGTCAGGAATGTGGTCATTTGGTCCACAATCTTTGTTCAGTTGAACAAACCTTGTTACTGTATCCTTGGTCACAGCATTAAAGTTATCAATGTTTTTCTCTATTATTTTTGGGCGCATGATTTTTGGAGCGATACTCTTTCGTGTTCTGTACCATTCTTCTCCATCCCTACGATATCAAAACAACAAAACAGTAAAGGCTTGGATAGTGCCACACTGTAGTATTAAAATGAATGAATATATAAACAATTTACATTCCCACTCACCTACAAAAATGGTCTCAAGATTATTACTTCCCCACCTCCCCAATGGAGGTGTCTTGCTTAACGTCTTCTTACCGTTTTTGTAATGCTCAACTTTTTATCAACCCTAACCCTAACCCTGAAACAGCATTCTTTCAAAAAAAAAGACAAACCCCAACCCCACGTTTTACTGACACCCATTTGAATATGTGCATTTCTTCATGCATACTCACCCCACCCCACTTCCCGTCCCCACCCTGTTTCTGGGCATTTTGCTCTTTGATTCATTTGAAAATGTTTATTATTTTCTACTTCATATATTATGATGTCAGCTGCAATGAGTATCTGCCATTTCAATTGTGTTCGTCTTGAAAAGTACTGTCACCTTGGAGAGGGGACTTTCTATTTTTTATCTTCTGCACCCAATCTCCCCACCCCCCCCCCCCCCCCCCCCCCCCCCCCCCCCCCCCCCCCCCCCCCCCCCCCCTCCACACCCACCCCCCACAACACGTAAAAAAAAAAAGTAAAAACAAACAAAAAAAACACACACACACCACCACACCATCCACCCCTCCCCTCCCCCTCCTCCCACCCTATATCCTCACGGTGAGTTTCTGAAAAGTGGGGCTAAGATATCATTTGGACCCTTCAGACATTTCTTTCAAATTAAAGTCATGCAACAACTGCTAACAAAAAATTAAGGGTTCAGACCCCAGCCATGTTTGAGGAAAGGGTGGGGAGGGGTGGACACTAACCCTAACCCTAAAACTGCATGATTTTAAAAAAAGGACAGACTCCGACTCCAGCCCCGCGTTTTACTGACACCCAATTAAAATAGCATTTATACTATTACGTAACATTTACTTACGCACTAAAGACTCCGACGAAATAATTCCTCCTTTTGCGCTGCTCTCTCCAAATATCCAATAACGGCGGTCTGCGTGGATATCTTCCTTCAGAACGGAAAACTTTCTCAAAATCATCAGGATCGATGGTGTGAACCGCAGGTTCGCCGCCAAACAATATGTCGCCCCTAAAAATAGGACCATGCTCCGTGAACAGTCGATTAGTTAGTTTGTAAACTTTGGTAAAGCCTTCGGTTTCCTTAAAATATTTAATTGTCGATGTCAAGCCAAAATCGGGCGATGGAATGTCACGGAATGATCGCGCTTCAACTTCTGCAGATTTTGCGGGCCTTGGGTCGTCGAAACTTTCCCGCTTTGCCAAAGGACTGGCCTCTGTTTTTTGCCATCTCCAGAACGAAGATAGGCATTTTAGATGCCGAGCTTTCGGGAGGAGAAAATTCGCTCGAAGAGAGTCGGCACACGGAGAAAACATATTTTCAATCACCTGATTCCTGAGGAGCTATAAAAGCGTTCAAAAAGGGGGTACTTTACTATGGGGAAAAAAATTGTGAACAGACTTTGTTGTAGAGCGAAAATAAACTTTGGAACAGTACTGTTTCGTATGGTCCGAGATGCATTGTGCCTCCATGTTAAAAATAAGCTATCTCAAATGATTATTATTATTTACTACATAAAAAATGAGGAAGTAGCGGGGGCACAACAAGAAGCGCTCTGAGCACGTACAAAGCAAGGGAAAGAATACTGCGGGTTGGTTCTGTGATTGTACTTGGTTAACAACTTAACAGTGCTGTTTCCTATGGTCCGAAAATATAGGACCACACTCATCAGGTAACTTCAATGACTGCCCGTTGAAATTAAAAGCTGGCAGTACAATTTGGATGGCTGTTATACGCATGCGTTACATTCAAGAAATGCATTGTCTCCCTATTAAAAATAAACTATCTTAAATGAAATATAAAGAATTCATTAAAAACTACATTGAGGAGTGACAATATCATTCTGATTAGAATGTATATAATATTTCGATTTGAGTCAAATCACATCCAAGTCAGAAAACTGTAAAAAAAATTTTAAAAAAATTTATTTCCCGGCTGCCAACAGAATGCCGCGTCGCGCAAAAGCCGAGAAATTCAAGGGAACTCTGTCACAAAACGAAGGACCCCGTCAAAGCAAAAAGGTGTAAACAGGAAGATGTTTAGCTGCTCTAGTCCCAGTGAGGGAGTTAGTTTTGAGGTCGTCACGTACAAACCAGTAATACTCAGTATCGGGGGCACAACAAGAAGCGCTCTAAGCACGTACAAAGCAAGGAAGAGAATACTGGGGTTGTTTCTGTGGATGCACTTGGTTGACAACTTAACTCAGTGACCAATGATGGTATCGTTCCATACAGGATTAGTTTTTTTATTGAGAATAAAGGCCACTGCAAAAAATCTCTCACTATTCATCAACCGCATATCATTGCAATATTGACCTCTTTGGACATTTATTCTCAAGGAACACATCATGCTATTGTAAAATGTTATAATATTTGATTCTCGTAGCCTAATCTATAGTCCTTCACGGTCTAATGATTTTTTGGCGTCAAAACTGAAGTGTTGACAGGCCAGGCACGTGAAACGTGACTTAAGAGTTTGCTTGAACAATAGAGGTTTTTCTACTTTTCTTTTTAAAGCGCAGCTTATGCAGTGCATAGAATTAAAGTCGATTCTAAGCTAATTGACTAAGCAAATCTTAATTTTGGCCGCTGGTCTCACATTTAGAGGTCATGAAGCTGGTCTATTTGTCTTATATTAATAAAGTTCATTTCCTGTGCTTTACGTTTTGAATGAGATCACCCGTGGCCTAGTTCTTGTTTGCAAGACGCTGAATTTTCACGGGACAGTGTTCTACATATCCTAATTGTAGCTTAACTAAAGCTAAGCCAACGCTGAAAAGTCACTCAAGATCATTCTTTGGGCGCCAATTTGTTTTTTTGTTTTTTCTTTCTTTCTTGAGAATCTTTGTTCTATAGCGCGATGTCCTGTAGTGCATACGTTGGTAATTACTTTTGTTTTAGCTTTATAAAATAAACAGTCTCAGAGTCTTCCAGTATATGCTGCTTTCTGTTTTAAGTTCTAAAGTAAGACTACCGTTTTGGAGCTAAAGCGTTCCTTGACAGTGAAGAGAGGCTTTGAGCATTTAAATTGCGCGATCACGTCTCGTACCCGGAGAGATGAGACCTTCTTATGCCTCTCTTTGCTCCGTATCTAATGTTTTTTTTTTTTCGGGAAACTTGACAAACTTTCCTGCTGTGCTTCAGCCATCATCAAGTTTTCAATGGTTTCGATTGTTGACAGTTTGTTGTCAACGCTTCAAAAATCAGCCAATCGTATTTTGCGTTGTGAGGCCAACGCTTAATTCATTGGCTCTGGCTAAGCGGGCAGTCTCTCTTTTTTCTTCTCGGGCTGCCGCCCTCGTTTCGTGAGGCTCGCGGCTTCGCCGCTCCCGCGCGCGTGCATTGCTCTCACTAAATCTGAAGAAAAAGAGAGACTGCTCGCAGTCTAGAAAAGCGCCGGCTTTGAAAACCAAAACAATGGCAGCTGAATCGCGTTTTGCCAGCTAAAGTTGTTTTTTCTCGATATTTTTGACCAACTAGTTGGGTTTTAGTAAAACAATTATTCCTCTCGCCCTCATGGCCACTGAGTCAATAGCCCATTCGGCCTTCGGCCTCATGGACTATTGACTCAGAGCCCATTCGGGCTCTAGGAATAATTGACGAGTACCCTACAGTGGTTTCTGGTCGCGGACGCTAGTGAAGAAACCACAGGCCAGTACAGCTAATGCATGCGCACAGCCATATCATCAATGGAATTGGCAGCCATGGACAGTTGTTTCGCCCTAATTCTTCCATATGCTACCGGAAAGGGTTTGGTAAAAAGGCAAACACGACCTCCGAAACAGCCGGCATTTCATCACATGCGAAGCGCGACCTGTGAAAATATGAAACGATTTATGAGGAATATGAAGGAGATTTTAAACAATAATCTATAAATAGTCTATTAGCGGTAATCACGGTCACGTTTTACTGATAATCCCGGGCCAAACTTGAATTTTTGTATAACTTCCCATCTCTCTGCCGCACCATATTCAGTTGTATTTTGATTTTTGACCTTATCGGATAAATTTAAGCTGCCACGTCGGTAGCCATTATAGCCTTTGTCGTAACCAAGTCAAGTCAGAAACGCGATGTTCTCATTCTCCCCGAGCATCCCTTTTCGCAGGAATCTTCTTAGCTTTAGAACACGACATCTTAAGCCTTTAACGCAAAACTGGTTGTCATCGCTGACAACAGAAGTGGTGCCCTTACAACGCCAAGATACTTTTGACGATGGAGTGCGTCCTTTCGAAGACATCCCAGAAGTTAATAGATGGAAGTTCATATACAATCTATGCACGAAAACCGAGGGCTTTACCAAATTTTTCAAAGAAACTGCGCGCCTTTTCGACGAACATGGCCCCATTTACAAAGACGACTTCATGTTTACGCCCTTTAAGACGGTGCACGTTATCGATCCTGAAGATTTCGCGAAAGTTTACCGGGCAGAAGGAAAATATCCGCGTAGGGCTATGTTAGATTTTTGGATTGAACACCGCAGGCGGAGGAATCATTTTTCAGGCATGATTATAGCGTGAGTATACCATAAATGACCTCTATAACTGAGCAGTTTGCACTGGGGTATATCTTTTGCTACTCACTTGCGCGAGCAATACTATAGGAAAATTCATTACCTGACGAGGGAATTCCACGTTAAATTGCACGCGAAAACCGATATCGCAGGAATCGCGAAGCGATTCGTGCGATATCGGTTTTCAAGTGCAATTTAACGTGGAATTCACGAGTCAGGTAATGGATTTTCCTTGAATGGCATAACTGAATAAAAATCAGAAAAAAAAAGAAAACGGCAATAATATTATTTGTTTTTATCCTGAGCGCGCGCTCCAGAAAGCCATTTCAAAGTTTTTCAAAGTCAACTGTCAGAACTGTCATTGCGTTAGCGAATAGGAGGCAAGGTCAGTCGTACACGTTTGACCCTTCGACGACTTTTTGTACCTTGTGCTTGTTTTTACATTTGTTTTCAAACTTTTTTACATGTAAACAAGCTTCACACTAATCGTAAGGATAAATAGAGGTATTCCACTGAATTTACAAGCCGTTTATCTATAACATCTTTTTTCAAATTGGTCATTTGCTCGAGAAGGAAAATAATTTACTCCTTTTACCTCTTCGGCGCAAAACTGAAAGACTGAAGTGTCCAAGCGAAAGCACTGAAAGTTTAACTTCGCGATTGATATATGGTAAGTACCTTGAAAGGTTTTAGAAATGCTGTTCAAGTTCAGCTCTGTTTTGTAGTTTTCTAAGTATCACGATTCAGGACGATTGCAAGCGGCGTACTCTTTTTCGTGTTTTCACTGAGGGGCCATGTCGTCTTCGAAGGTATTTACACGTATTCTTCTCCTGTATATGTGACAATCGACCCTGGCATTTCCTCCGCTGTCGCTTTTCCGTTTTGTTTGGTCGAACTTTGGCTTGCCATTTTCTGGGCCGTGTTCACAAGATTTTCTTGTTTTCTCGTTGTCGCTAGCGAAAGAGGTTTTTTATGCCCCTTCGAGAATTTGTAGTTCAGTTCAAAACAAGGAAGTACCTCCGGCTCACTACAAAAAACGCTTTTGTTTGTTTTTAACTCTTCAAAAGGTGACAAAGGTTTTGAAAACATTTTAAAATGACATTGTAGAAAACCTTTTTTGCAGTTGTTGTGTTAGAATTTGACGATAGTTGTTACGTAGATGCGAAACAATATTGCTTAGCCTCGTTTTCAACTCGCAATTCCACACTAAATACCTCGCTTCGTTAACCAATCAGAATGCGAGATTTTACTCAATTATGCGATTCTAAACAAAATGCGGCTTTTGCTTTGGCCGGTGTAAAACCTAAGCATTCTTGAATCAAGTCGCTAAACGAGTTTGCATCTTTGAAACATGGGTTAAGTAGTATTCCTAAGATGCTTTTCAATAAGTATCACTTGTGATAAAATTGCTTTAAAAAGAACAAAATATCCTTTAAACAATGGATCAGTTGGACTGTTCTAAATTGCCCAATATACGTTTTACGAACAAATAATGTGGTATAGGCGTCTGGTCCAAGTTCTCACTCTTATGTTCAAGAGCTATGCCCCCGATCCCAATGACCTAATAATATAAATAATATTTCTAGTATATATAAAAAACTATCAGCCTACAATCTTCGTGGTAATAAGAGAAGTAGACTCAAATCAGCCGGCCCCTAAGTTACTACTTTCAAGCACAAATCTTTCTCTTATATTGCAGGCTGACTTTGGAATATTCTATACCTCCTCATATTAACTGGGGAGGCCTACTATC